TTTGTGTCTTTTTTTTGATAATAGTGGATAAAGCTTTCTCCATAAATCATCATATGTAATTTTCTCCAAATAGACCAAATAATTTATCTACAATAGGAAGAGATCCAAATGCAACAAACACATGACAAGATCAACAATGAATGAGGTAGTATAAACTGAGGTAAAATCTTGTGGCACAGCTCATTCGTCATCGGGAAGATCGACCTTACGACGTTTGAGAACAATCTCATCACTACTACTATCATCTTTTCTACTTTTTGGTGTAATTTTTGGAGGTACGAAATCATCTAAAACATCTGGTAGTGTATCCTTAGCTTTGGGAGTAAGTTTGGGTGGGACAAAGTCATTCAGCGGATCGTCTTGGGCGTCGCGCGTGGTTTTCGGCGATGGAAGAGTATCTGGTGTTGGTCGCGTGTCAAGCACGAAGTCCTCGCCATCGTCGAAAATCTGAAAACTTCAACACGAAAATAATCTGGCCGGTCTGCGAGAATAGATGCATAGAAAAATCAAAAGTTTATCTGAAAACAGGGTGACAGATTAGGTATATGAGGTTCTCAAAGAAAACTGATTGGTGAGCCCTATCAAGCCCTTGCCCAAGTGGCATCTCATAAGGTCCATTCGTGGCCGAAAAGTTCAATTCCATCGTGCCAGGACAGGACTCTCTACCATACTCGAGAACGATGATTACGGTATGGGCTGAAGCTCGAACTTGATTTTCGAGCCAAAAATGAACCATACGGGCCGCCGTTTGGACGATGGTATAGTTAATGCCGCCGTCAGTATAAACATAGGAAGTCCTAGGGCCCAATTTTGCCTGAACTCTATCTCTAGGTTCATAGATATCAAATATACCCACTTCTTCGTCAATCTGAATTTCGCTGTCATCGGTACTGTTTTCTACTAAATAATGTGCGATGTCGACGCTATCAGGATCTCTATCCACAAGCATTTTGTTTAGATCCTGAATGTCCAACCAAGAGCAAAATTCAGCCGTTTGCGGATTTCTGAAGTAACCAAATATCTTTCTCTCAGGGTCTACCAAAATAGTATCCCTAACCTGTAGTATGGAGTACACTGCGCATTCCTTGCTTCCGGTGTGTCCTTCAACAATGGTTTTGCAGTTTGCTGGAAATTTTCCGGGATACTCATGTCTCCAAGCTTGCTAATGCTTGCCAATTCCTCTTCAGTAGGCCGGAAGTCCCACCGCTCGTTGCTATGAGCAGAAGGCAAATATGCGTTCTAAAACAGAGAGTAAACTAGGGAAAAAACTTGGAGTTCTTTGCCACTCACTGAGCGAGTTATCGTTGTAAAACTGTCTGTGCTCTTCAAAATGGCTAGCCATTGCGGGTCATAAGTTAACTTGAGTTCAGCATCCTCGGCTATATCTAATTCCAAAGCCTGAAATTTTGAGGCTTTAAATCAGAATTGATCAAAACAACGGAGAGGTTAATGCCAAAAGGAGAAGAAAAAACAAAAAAAAAATAAGTGATGGTAAATGGTTGTAAAAAAAGATGTAAAAAAAATTCAAGAAATGATTCAGAGCTTGTACTGATCTCAGTTCCTACCTGTATGAACTGTCTCCTAGGTATAGGCTTATCTAGAGCTAAGAATCTTGTCGGATTTGCTCCAGCAGAGCCATCTTTACCATCATGAGCTACAAGAGCAGCAAAGGCTACATGCAGATGCGCTGCAAACCAGTACCTAGGCCGTATATCCTGAAAATTTGATGAATCTCAAAAAACTGACGGAAGCATACAAAACTCACATAGAGCAGCTGCATAGTGGAGGGATTTCCCAATTTTCCATTATTTACATCATCAGCAAAGAATGGTTTCACTCTCAAAAGCCAGTCTTTGTCGCCAAAGTCTACAATCCCCGAGGGCCAGTCATGGCTGATCATAATATCTACAGGGTTCTGAAAGTGATCTACACACAGTGCGAACCTAAGCCAAACTGATTTCGTGAAGGCTTACACTAGTGCTATCGTCATCAGCTGGTCTTAGCTGTTTTAGACGCCACACATCGATATTCCGAACATGGTAAGAGGAAACGATATCACTGCGATCCTTGTATGGTGGGCGTTCATAATGTCCTGTAACTGGTGAATGTAGAAATGTATTTAACATAATCAGATCTACCAACAAAATTTTTGCACAGTAGGCTTGAGAAGACAAAGAATCAAAAAGATAGCAACATGCTCTCACCACGATTGAATTCTCGCCCGTTGTATATGCCCGACAGGCCAGCTATCCGTAATCCAGCGAACCTACAATCTAGGTATTCCACAGTAAATCATCAACGAATAAAGAAACTAACCTTATAACATTTGCGAATCCCATGTAGTATATATTTGGCGCAACCCAGCCTCCATTTGGCAATTCTGCCAGATATCCTGAAGCCTCATGGTTCCCGCCAACGAAGATTGTGAGAATCGGCGCAGTCTAAATAATAGAAAACATGAAACAAAGTAATCAAGAGATAATTGAGACCCACCTTTTCACCCGAATAATATTTGTAGAATGTTTGTATTGATCTATACTTCTCGTTTACATGCATATGATGAAGATCTCCATAATTTCTCACAGACTAAAAAAATTGCTTTCGCGCTACCATTTCAGAGGAGAGTTAGACTTAGCTTACCTGATAATCACCGCAACAGATAAGTAGATCAAATTTATAGCCTTTTTCTTGTT